AGACAGAACTCTGAGCCTGTCGTCTCACCCGCCCCCTTCAGATTTACCAATGTATCTAACAGAAACTAACTTGCCCGACCCTTGATTAATTCGACACTGTCGCCGTTCTATGCCCCGACACCCCGCCCCCCATGCCCATGTAAATTAATCACCTTCTTCCTGCTCCTCGACTCAGTCTGTTCTCACTCGCGGAGAACCTGAATTTTGTATAAGACCAGAAATTTACGATTCAGTCATTTTCGTGTTCGGTCCAGTTTCAATAATAACAGTCTTTCGTCTGGCGACTCGCCCGTGCACTTAGCACACCATACCTACAAACTTGAAAAGTTTCTTTGATTTTTAACCTATCCGCCTTTGGGATGACTCGGGTTATTTACCTTAATTTGTGAATTATATGCTATAGTATGTAAACTCATAGACGTTGGTTATTTCTCCTCTCTGTCCTCGTTGGTAGTAGTTTTTGGCAGAACAAAATTCACTGTCAATACAAGCGAAAGTACGGTTTCTAGGAGGTAGTTGAGACGAAACAAATGCGATGACTTGGACTTTATTCGTCTTACACTTCGTATTCCGCCGCGGACCCATCATCAGAGACAAAAGCAGAAACGCGCAATTCATACACAGGAAATCGCAGTATCTATATGATACGGTTGCTACACTACTGCATACCTACGCAGTTAGTATTGACGGCTCAGTTCACTAGCAGCACTCAAATGCATGATTATGACTTAAATTACCAATAAGGCCTGTATTTACTGTGCTGCATACAGAGTTTATTAAATCGGCACAGGCATTATAACACAATGTTGACTTATTTCTACTCCAGCCTTGGGATGGTATATGCCAGTCCTTCTGAGCGTAACTTATACGAGCCGCAACCTCACGAGCTTGGGGAACCTCACTAGCTCCAGCTGCTTATTGGGAGATTATTTCGGAATATAACTTCAGGAAGTAGTGCGAAATGCAGATTCGATTTCTGGACTTTAAGCTCAAATGGACTATGATCACGTTCATGTTGAAGTGCTCTCCTATGAGTTTTGGATTTGGTAAGGATAACTTCTACGGCGGACTAAACAGACCACGGGAATAGGAACCGTCCATAGTATAGGTGACTGCGCCAAATTCCAGAGAAGTTAGATTTAGGGTAAAGGTGAGATTTAGGGTTGAGCTTAAAGTTGGGGTTAAGGTTATGGCAAAAGAAGTTTAAGCAGTGCACCTCATATATCCCTAATTCCAGCATTCTTTCCTACGAAAGCGATGCTTATAAGGATCTTGGGGGTGGGGAAATAGGGTAGGCAGTGAAGGAAATTTGTAGACATAAGTAGACTTCAGGTAAGTTGAAGCAGATAACCTCCTAACCACCATTTCTATTTTTTCAGGGATTTCGAGAAATCTGCATTTTGATAATCGGATTTTCCTACAATACTTTTAACGATAATACAGATTATGAAGATCTACAGACATGAATCAACAACATTTGTAAATAAACCAAAATAAAAATGCATATAGCAGTTATTAAAGTACATTCCACTACCTATCCTACTTCCCCACCCATAATACCCCTATAACAACCGTTTTCGCAGGATAAAATGCTGGAACTAGGGGTTTATGAGGTGCACTACTTAAACTATTGTTGCCAAGATTATGATTATCTTAAGGCTAAAATTTTGGGTTTGGGTTAAAAGTATGGTTTAGATTTAAGGTAAAACTAGTGTTCAGATTGAGGTAACAGCTTAGTTTTACGTTAGAACTAGTGTGAGGGTTAATACATGGGAACATCTGTGCTCTAGGTGGTTCAGTGAAGCTGCATACCCCCTATTCCTCTACTAACGTAAACGTGGCCACAAGATCCAGAACCCGAAGGCACCATGAGATCAGTTGCCGGTTCGTTTTCAAAGTTCGCCAACATTTCCTGTTATTAACTATATCCACATTCACCCCAAACCGGCTATTAGACGCTGATGAGGTTGTCTATTGAGAAGGAGGAAATGCGATCGCT